CACACACACACACACACACACACACACACACACACACACACACACACTAAACAGATGTAATGAAACATATTTTAAAAGAATATCAGTTGAGAAGGGAACATTTGGTGAGGGTTGAAAGTGTGGTTCAGTGGTAGAGCACTTGCCTATCATGTGTGAGGGCTTAGGCTCTATCCTCAGCACCTTGCTGTACCCTCCTTTCAAAAGAAGAGAGTAAAGAGTAATCTTTGGTAATAATTTATTCTTCAGGATTGCTCCATTCCTTAAAATTATACTAAGGTTGTGAAGAGCCTTTATATCTTGAAGAATTCCTGTGACTTTTGATAACCACCAAATTCCTTATTGCAGTGTATTCTCAACCCGTTTAAGGATGGTTTAAAAATATGTCCCCCAGTTATAGTAATATAAAATGCTTAGGAAGTGTGCTTTTGTGTTTCTCAAAAAAGAAAAAAATAGAGGACAACTCACCCAGTTTCAAGAATATAATTTCTTTCCTGATGGAAATGGAGTATAAACATCTGTTCCTCATGATTTGAGAGTGTTCTAACTGCAGGTGGCTATTGCTCCATCTCTGTGGGCCTGGACCACTCATTCAGAGGAGGATCAGAGGAGGACTTCAACTGTGTGTGTGTGTGTGTGTGTGTGTGTGTGTGTGTGAGAGAGAGAGAGAGAGAGAGAGAGAGAGAAAGAGAGAGAGAACAGAGAGATGGAGTAAAGGCACTAGCAAATCTTTGATCAATCATTGATTATTGTGATAAAAACAGTCATAATATGGTTCGGTGAAGGTACAACATTTACAGTTTAGGTCTTTTGAGAACACAGTGGCTAGAGTCATGTCACCAATTTGACCTTGCATGTGTCTTCTTTCTCCTAAAGGTGAGAAGTTTCTTTGTGGAGCCATTTTCAAATTGGGTCAGAACAGACGGATGCTCTGAGTCAGTCTATTATCGCTTGACAGTGTAGCATGTCTTCACCTCACTTTAAGACATTTTTATTTTAAAATTTTATTTGTGTGTATGAATTTGTATCAGCCATGTTGCGGGTGCCCACAGAGTCCAGAAGAAGGCATCGGATCCTCTGGGGATGCAATTACAGTGGTTATAAGCTGCCTGATATGAGTGCTAGGGATCTCTGGAAGAACAGCAAGTGTTCTTACCTCTGAGTCATTTCTCCATCTCCTATCTGACTTGCCTTATGACTCCAGTTTTTCCTGTTGGAATGTTCATGTGGAATATTGGAAATAGAGCTGCATCTTTTACCAAACTCCAAACACCTTTCGTGTTTCATGCAAATGCTATTTATGTAAATACTAGGAATATATTCTTATGGCTCAGAATTTCCTGGACTGAACACAATGAGATTAAGCCCTGTGCTGATTATATCCTTGAATTGACTCATTAGCACTGTGGGGCTTTTTAAAAATTCTGTCACTTCCTTTACCCCACTATAAAAACTATCCTTTCTTGTAGAATTGAAGTTGAAACTGTTACCACACCTTCATGGGACTTTTCCATTTCACTTCCATTACCTGTAACTTTTGCTGTTAGTTGGAGTCCAACATTGAAAAAAGAATGTTGAAAAGTATTTGTAATCAGATTTGTAGGGTTGCAATTCACCTTTTGCTTGCTTGATTCCTTGGCCAAGCTCTGCTGTGCAGTGGTTAACAATGGGCATCTAAAGACAGCCTGACCAGTGGCCCATGGCTGTCACGTACCGGTTACGTGACCACAACAGTTTTAGTTCTCAGTTCTTCACCTAAAAAAGAACACGGTTGTGGTGTTTTATGGTGGTGGTGTGCCAATTAAAATGCCTCAGTTCTGCATAAACACCCAGAACACTGCAGAACACCGTCAGTGCTGTGTAAGGTTAGCTAAGAGAGATTATTTGGGATTGTTTTCTGTTAATTCAAACTCTAATTAGCTTAACTGTTCCCTTAAAGTGATGTACTGGGACGTGAGACTTTCTTTGAGGCTGTCAGACCTAGTAGTTCTTTGTGTTATCTGTTATTATCTTCTGTCACAAGGTGTGCTGATAAGCATTATCTTTTTAGTTACTCGTTTTCACTGACACATTGTCAGTAAGATGAAGCGTTTGTATCTTACAACTCACTTTCTCAAGTTCTCAGTTCTACTTTGAAATTAGTGTAGCACTGTGTGCCTGTCTTGTATGCTCTTTGCTTACGGCTTCTGTATTTATTCCACGGAAGGAGTGTCATATGTGCTTGTGTATGTATATGTTGGGTTGTCATTCTTTGTATCCTCAGAGCCTGGCATGTATCATTTGACATTCCTGCTAAACAAAGATCACAGGAATGTCTGACAGACCTCACAAGGCAAAATCAAGTTGAGCTGGTAGGTCAACACTTTTTGCCTCTTCCCTACTTGCTATGTTCATCTAACGAGCAGTCTGGAATTTATACACACCACAAGTTTTCCATGGTTCAGAAGTCATCAGTAGGAGAAACTGAGGTGTTCAGAGTTCAGCTGGATGGTCACAGCTCGTTCCATTTTCTTCTGTAGTGCTAGAAAAGCAAAGTGAACATTGGGGAACAATTGGCAGTTTTTTTGTTTTATGTTTTTCTCTCCCATGGTCCACCATATAGTCAATCATATCTGGGGCTTGAGGTCCAGTGAAGCTCAGTGTGCCATCTCTGTAGCAGACTGTATTAGGGATGTGGGAAAATATATTGAAAGGGAAGTGAAAGTGGACTTCCCTGTACCATTCTGATTTACCATACTTTTACAGAGCACCACAAGAAAACAGCTTTCCACTGACTACATTTGTAAAAACTCCTGCTGGTTTTTGATAGAATGTGAGAGGAGCTCACCAACTCTACTGTCGACAGCTTTTAAGGTTGGCTTCTCTTCCTGAAAGATTTGTGACTAAGGTAGAGGACCC